TAAATGTGAATTACAGCTGACAGGCACACAATCCCTTGGTAAATGGTATTAATTTGAACAATTAAACAATAAACACACAAGGTACGAAACATAATCGAATGAATCTAGTCATTTAAGATCTATTGGTAACCTGCATGAATCACATTCCCTCGTCTCACATCCACACACAAGTTACACTCCTGTAACCAATGACGGAACATAAGATAAATCTTTATTTTCAACACTCGTAGCTAATAACGCCCCTTCCACTTGCAAACTGGATGCTCTCGCTGGTTTCTTTTTGGGTTGCTCGTTCGCTAAAATTGCAAAGGAAAAGATGCGATGGCTTGGTGCTTTCAAGACCATGGTGGGATGCTGGGTTCCATTACGTGTAATTTTAAAATGGAGTTAACAGAGCCTCAAGGCTAAACAAACTAAACCAAACATGACAAAAGGGAAGCTTAAAATCACAATGATTCCCCATTTTGGATTCCACGAAACTCTAGTATAGAAAACATTCTCCCGGGGCAGCTCTTGAAACTGAAAAAAATGAGCTGGAGGACACCGCGTTTAAAGCGATAAAATAAAATAAAACTCGACTCTCACAGACACAAGTGTAATGTCAAGGAAGTCACAGGACATCTTCCTTTGGAATTTCACTGAACCCACTTTAAATATCTTTACGGTATATAGCCTACAATCTCAGAAAATATAATTATAACATGGTATCAAGCAGATTTAACCACGTATTATATGAAACTTTTTATTACAGTCTGTAAAAATATTCCAAAGCATAACATATTTAATGAGGCATACAAATTCACGTATTTTTTCCATTTCTATTTAAGTGAAATATAAACGTATCCGTGTAGCCTACTATAAGATTGTGTTCTAAATATAGAGTGTTTATATATTAGCGTTCGAGGACTGTAGACTATTCGCCAGATTCAGTAGTTTTGAGAAAATATTTAGACAGCTTTCATTCCTGAATAGTAGATGGGGAAAAATGTTTAGATCGAACAGATTTAGGAATAAAGTGCATAGGTTTGGCGTTGGGAGGTTATGTAAAAGGCAGATGCAACGAACATAAAGCTCGCTATTGCTGAGAGAGAATGCTAGAATTTACACATATTTACATATCTGGAGATAGTTCTTGTTTAAACTGATTACACGTACGTGTGGCTAAATTTTAAAGGTGATAATTTGTCATGCAACATTATGTAGGGAAAACAGGTGAGGGCGACTGCTGAACATAGTCAAACTGATACCTACAGTGATCCCCCCTATATCGCGGATTTTTCCCCGATGCATCACAGTTCTCTGCGAGGTGCGTATGTATGTGTGTGTATATATATATATATATATATATACACATATATAGGCGTAAACTATAAGAAAATGTTTATTTATATGGTCTTTCTATATAGCGGATTTTCACCTATCGCTGAAGGGTCTGGAACGGGGGATCACTGTAGATTAATAACAAAATGTGGGTTCGCGTTTCATGCGAATTTTAAATGCGCGGTTTTTCATTTATCCTATTATATAAGTATAATTTTCTTGAAGTGGCGCTAAAACAACTCGAATCATATTAGTTACGCCTTTTTAAAGTTGATTTAAAATTGACCTCTTGTATAATTTTCTTTTTTATCTAAGTATTGATTACAGCACCTTAAAGATTTGACAGTGAGCAAAATGAGTACCACAGGACGAAGTAAACCTTCACATGGCCTGATCCGAAATGCTACACTGGAGATGAAGTTATATTAGATAAGATCTAATCTGAAATCCTCAATCCCTGCACGTTCAAACATAGAAAAGCACAGCATAAGGGATAGAATCAAATATCAAAGGCTTCGTTAAAAGGACACGGGATTCAAAGAGTGATGGGTGTCTAAAACCACCCATTGGACAGCAGTAGGGGGCAGTCCTAGCCAATCAGAAAGCAAAAGCCTAAAGCCCATATTAGCAGCCAGGGGGAAAAGAGGCTGAGTGCAGTGTGGAGGACCACAGCAGAGTTGGGCATGTTGACCGACCCATCCAGCTTGAGGCAGGAGGCTGATGTGGCGACGCAGCATTCTTGCGTGCAGTTCGCAGCAGTGGAGCCGCAGGACTTGTCTCCAGTGCAGTTCCCACTACAGGAAGCCTCCCAGGACGTTGTTGTAAGCAAGATGATCTTATTCAGCTGAAAGGGAACGTTAGCAGTATGGATTGCAGCCGTTGTTTTCTACAGCGTTCCTTTATGTCGCTCTCTACCCATCTGTCTGTCCATCCACACATGCGCCTTCTGTCGTTCACTTAAATCTAATCACCTGTTTATTTGCTGTCTTAGAGTAAATGTATTCTCATATTTCATTAACATACAACAAGCCTCATTACCTCTCTGTGGCATCTGTAGTGTTTTTGCTGCCTCACACTGGTAGTGCTGCCCCATTCCCCCTCCCTCACTCCCATGACCTCCCAGTCTGCAGGACAGCGAGTCACCAGCCTGCCCCACAGCCCACCTTGCAGAAATCCTGGCCTGCAAAGCAGTCTTGTTTCCCGGTTTCCGTCTGGTAGCATTTCTCGCCCTGGCAAATGAATTTGTGGCATTGCTTTCCCTGCGCAAGAGGGAAAGGAGGAGAAGAGGAGGTGAATGGAGGGAGCAGACCTCCCTCTGCAGCTCTAAAGTGAGGTCTGGGTCTTCACTGCTTGCTTGTGTTTCTGTCATCCAAACATAAACAGTCATTCAATTCAATTCTTTTCATGAGTGTGATAGGAAACCTATGTAAATATCAGGAGGACACGCACACTCCACACACAGAGAACAGGGTGGGATTCAAAGCTCCGCCCCTATCGATGCAAAACCATGATGCCAGTCCAATCACATCGCCCTAAAGAAGCAGCCATGCAGCATTGTGGTCGACTGGCAAATCAGCAAAGAATGTCATTGGTTTGAAAGTGGAAGCAAAGGTCACCCAGCTAGACCATTTGCTGCTTCCGAGTCAGGTGACAGAATCAGAGGTCAAAGTGCACCCTTACGTTTCTCATTGCAGTCGTCAGAGTGGAGGCGGTAGTCTGGGTGGTGACTGTGGTGACTGGAGTCACTGGAATTGTATTAAAAATATGAAAAGGACAGAGACGGTGGATGAACTATGACATAAAAACAAAACTGGTAAAAGCACATTAAAATATTATTTATCCACTTTGGACCAATTATGGAAAAGCTAAGAAACACTGCAACAACGTTGGACTGTATTAGCTTAAATGCTTAATGTACATTGTTTACAAATTCAGATACTAAAGACAAAATTTGAATAGCATAATAATACCATATAATTATAATTATAAGACCACTGTTATGTAATTCTGGGAAGTTACTCAATATGTCATTATTATGTCTACAAAAAAATTTACATTGTTTGCTGTATATTTTATTTATTTGTCAGATTCTTTTGTCCTAAGTGAGGCACATTTTTTTTGAGAAAGCAGTGTCAGACAATCTCTGGAGCAATTGGGGGTTAGGAGCCCCCCCCCCTTATGCTGTGGGTTTTGTTAACTTTAGCGCCCGTCTGAGTTTCAGGGTAACAGGGTTGGGTGGGGGTACCTGTGGTAGGTATCATTAGTGATGCAAGTGTGGAATTAAGGCAGTCCGTGGAGTTGCAGCAGTCCACACTGCAGCTGGTCATAGTCGAGTTTGCACAGCGGTTGACGGTCGCATTGCAGAATGCGCTGCAGTTTACAGAGTACATAAGGCCATCAAGGCGCCGCAGCTGGAAAAGGAAAACACCCAGTCAGAGCCATTGCTATTTCACTGGCTCTCAGTTGTGAATTTCTCCCATCTTTCTTGCTCCACGGGCGATATCCTTTAGTGTTTATGGATTGCCAACTACGTAGCGGTTAGCATTGTTGCCTCACACCTCTGGGATTGGGGTTTGGGTCACTGCCCTGCCCCTTCGAGTGCGGACTTTGTACGTTCTCCCTGTGCCATTGTAGGGGTTTCATTGGGTTTTCCGGTTTCCCCCCATAGTCCAAAAACATGCTAAGCTTAATTGCAGTTGCTAAATTGTTCATATGTGTGAATGGTACGGGCATGAGCCCTGCAATGGGTTGACGTCCCATCCTGGGTTATTCTCTGCCTTGTGCCCATAGCTTCTGGTATGGGCTCTGGATCTCTGTAACCCTGAATAGGACAAGTGGATATGGAAAATGGATGGATGGATCACCATTTGCCACATGGCAGGACAACAGCAAGGAGCTGGCATACACTCCTCAGTCCCATCAGTCTTCTATCTATCTATCTATCTATCTATCTATCTATCTATATACTGAGGTCATCATTTTGAAATCCAAGGAATAATGCAAATCACATGACAACCAACTAGCCAGGGGTGACCAATCAAACCTATCAAATCTGCTGAATCATGTCATCCCTCTACCTGGGCATACAGTGGCTGTTGAACAGCCATTCATGCAATGATTGTGGAGAAGAGTTTTCGCCACAGTCATGATAACTGCGATTGAAAAAAAGATCTGTCTACAATGTAGCGCATCCTTACAATCTGACCGACATAAACCTCTGAAAGATATAAGTGTATGAAGCCCTTTGATGTTTCACTATTCATTTCGCTTTGGTGCAGTAATTCCTGGTCAGTGCTGGGCAAAGAACTTCGTTATTTGCTGAATTGTGCCTTCAGGTTTGCTGATGAGGAATCAGCTATCCTGACAGAATCATGCCAGGCGAGGTTGACAATCACCAATGGGCCCTCTCAGTCTACCACTGCAATTTTTCTCTGTTTATGCATTTAGTGGATGATTTAGGCTACGTGGTTCCATGCGATTTCCTTGGTCAGCAAGCTGGAAGTGGAATGGAAAACTGTAAGGCCTCTAACTCCAGCCCAAGGCTGAAATGGTCCATCTCCTGGATGATCTTACCATCTACTTCCTCACGGTTACCTCACAAAAAAGGGCGTCAGTAGAGCATGGTCTGGCTGTCGTGTTCAGGTATATGGCGTAACACATGGAGGAATTGCAGGTGAATGTCCGACAGGATATCTGCTGGACAGAGATGGACCAGATGAGATGTGGCAGGTACAATACGCTGTACGACTACCCACAGGGAGGCTAAGAAGGCGGCAGAGAGAGGAGAGGATGCTTAATGCGCACCTTGCCAGTGGAGTTGTTACTGGACTTTCCTGTTGCTGTTGCTGCAGAAAAACAAAATACAATAAGGTGATTAGCCATGCTGAATCAGTCTGTACAGAGATCTGAGCACTTCCTAATAGCTAGGAAAAGATTTCACCTACTTGCATTTGCAGATCCTGTGAATGTACTTGAAGGTGCCAATGTTGTCAAATTGGTAATTGCAGTTGTATTTGCAGTTGTATTTGCAGTTGAACTGTTAAATGAAGAAGTTGATGTGACTGAGCTCGAGTAGTCGGTAGGGACTGTAGTGCTGCTCTGACTTGTGGTCATTCTCAGTTGAACAATTAGGATCAGCACAATTCCTGCAGCAGCAAAGCGAAATCCGAGTTATGTAGTTATATAGCACTGCATAAGCACATAGCCACACAGCACAAACACTATTATTCAACAGACATAAATGACGTCTAGCGTACAGGAAAAGCAACTAGTATTATAACCAATTAAAGGTTTTTAAAGTTTTGATTGGCCGCTATCTCAAATGTATTTAAGGTAAGTTTCCCGAAGTAATACATATCCATATTGCATAGCTGCTTATCCAATGTAAGGAATTAGTGATTGATATGAAGGACTACTAAAATAATGCAAAATAAATAAATAAATAAATAAATAAAAATAAATACGAACCTGTTACACAGCCCACTGAAGGCATGTTTGCTCGAGCTGGGGCAGGAAGAAAATCTGTAAAACCTGCAATAGCAACTACAGTAGTAAGAATAAAGTTGGATTATGTAAAGAAGAGCATAGTATGGACCTGCTCAGTGCATAAGAAAAATATTCAGCAGATGTTAAGTCTTAAATATCAAGTGAGAGCGGAAGTTGGAGCGTTACTCACTGACAGCACGGNCTGACAGGTACCGGCGTGCCAAGCGGGATGCGGCTTCGGTGGTCGCCGAGGCAAAAACTTGGGTGTGGGAGGAGTTTGGTGAGGCCATGGAAAATGACTACCGGACGGCTTTGAGGAGATTCTGGTCCACCATCTGGCGGCTCAGGACGGGAAAGCGGTGCAGCATCAACACTTTTTATGGTGGGGATGGGGCGCTGCTGACCTCAACTTGGGACATTTTGGGTCGGTGGAGGGAGTACTGCGAAGACCTCCTCAATGCCACCGACACGCCTTCCATCGAGGAAGCAGAGTCTGGGGACTTGGGGGTGGACTCCCCTATCTCTGGGGTGGAGGTCTCTGAGGTGGTTAAAAAGCTCCTCAGTGGCCAGACCCCAAAGGTGGATGAGATCCACTCGGTGTTCCTCAAGGCTCTGGATGCTGTGGGGCTGTCCTGGTTGACACGCATCTACAGCATCACGTGGACATCGGGGGCAGTGCCTCTGGACTGGCAGACCAGGGTGGTGGTCCCCCTCTTTAAGAAGGGGGACCGGAGGGTGTGCTCCAACTATAGGGGGATCACACTCCTCAGCCTCCCTGGTAAGGTCTATTCAGGGGTTCTGGAGAGGAGGGTTCGTCAGATTGTCGAACCTCAGATTCAGGAGGAGCAGTCTGGTTTTCACCCTGGCCGTGGAACAGTGGACCTGCTCTATACTCTCAGCAGGGTCCTGGAGGGTGCATGGGAGTTTGCCCAACCAGTCTACATATGCTTTGTGGACTTGGAGAAGGCATTCCACCGTGTCCCTCGGGGAGCCCTGTGGGGAGTGCTCTCGGAGTATGGGGTGCCAGCCCCCTTATAAGGGCTGTTCAGTCCCTGTATGACCGGTGTCAGAGCTTGGTCCGCATGGTTGACAATAAGTCGGATTCGTTTCTGGTGAGGGTTGGACTCCGTCAGGGCTGCCCTTTTCACCGATTCTGTCCATAACTTTTATGGACAGAATTTCTAGGTGCAGCCAGGGTGTTGAGGGTGTCCGGTTTGGTGACCTCAGGATTAGGTCTCTGCTTTTTGCAGATGATGTGGTTCTGTTAGCTTCATCGAACCGTGACGATCGGTTCTCACTGGAACAGTTCGCAGCCGAGTCTAAAGCAGCTGGGATGAGAATCTGAAACCATGGTCCTCAGCCGGAAATGGGTGGATTGCTCTCTCCGGGTCGGGGAGAAGGTCCTTCCCCAAGTGGAGGAGTTTAAGTATCTCGGGGTCTTGTTCATGAGTGAGGGAAGGATGGAGCGGGAGATCGACAACCGTATCGGTGCAGCGTCAGCAGTGATGCGGGCGCTGAATCGGTCTGTCATGGTGAAGAAGGAGCTGAGCCAAAAGGCAAAGCTCTCGATTTACCAGTCGATGGTCACGAGCTGTGGGTGGTGACCGAAAGAACGAGATCGCGAGTGCAAGCGGCCGAAATGAGTTTCCTCCGCAGGGTGGCTGGGCTCTCCCTTAGAGATAGGGTTAGGAGCTCGGTTATTCGGGAGGGACTCAGAGTAGAGCTGCTGCTCCTCTGCATTGAGAGGAGCCAGATGAGGTGGCTTGGGCATCTGGTCAGGATGCCTCCTGGACGCCTCCCTGGTGAGGTGTTCTGGGCATGTCCCACTGGGAGGAGGCCCCGGGGAAGACCCAGGACACGCTGGAGGGACTATGGATCCCCCAGGAGGAGCTGGATGAAGTGGCCGGGGAGTGGGAAGTCTGGGTTTCCCTGCTGAGACTGTTGCCCCTGCGACCCGACCTCGGATAAGCGGAAGATAATGGATGGATGGATAATCTTAAATTACTTAAAAATCTTTTTTATATCACAGACTTTCATGATGTCAGTATTGCATGTGTGCCCATTGCGATATTGCAATATACATCGATATGTACATATATTGCAATAATATACATATGGACTCGAACCCATGAACAGTGTAGAACTTACGATTCGATCAAGCTAATATTGTTTACAGAAGTACTGACTCTGCATGTAGTATATGATAAATTGTCAGCAATTAACAGGTCTTGAAGAATCAGGTATGCGGGGTGAATGTCCTAAAATTGCGAAAACGTCAATTACTTTTGATTCTTGTGATAAACCTTAAAGTAAGCGGCATAACCAGAATATACACGCCTACTTAAAGAGGGTAGGTTATAGAAGTCGAT